AGTTGCAAGAGGCCGATGACCCGCTGGGATTACCAACATGAACTGCCGGCCCCACAAGGAGGGGGACTCCCGCCTGAGATTTCCTCGCAATTCACTCATAGACGAGGCTCCCGCCTGAGATTTCCTCCAAATTCAAGCCTGAGGAACCCAAAAATGACGGAGGCCGATTACCCACTCGGATTACCAACATGAAGTGCGGGCCCCATAACGAGGGGGCTCACGCCTGAGACTTCCTCGCAATCCACTCACAGACGATGCTCCCGCCTGAGATGAGTGAGTGAGTGAATGAGTGAGCGAGTAAGTGAAGAATACGATGAGGATGATGATAATACTGGCGATGATAACAATAACATTAATAGTAATGATACTAATATTCATAAGCATAATCATAACACGGATAGTACTGATTCTGCAAAGTAACAATAATAATGATAATAATAGAACACAATAGTAATACTCATAATAATACTAATAATAATGATAGTAATAGTAATACGAATAATAAAAATAATAATAATAATGATAACGATAATGATAAATAATGATGGTGGTGGTAACAATGATGATGATCATGATGATGATGATGATGATGATGATGAAGATGAAGATGATGATGATGATGATGATGATGATGATGATGATGATGATGATGATGATGATGATGATGATGATGATGATGATGATGATAGTGTGAGTGACTGTGAGTGCGTGTGAGTGGGCGGCATGGTGGGTGAGTGAAAGGGTGAGTGGGTGAGTGAGTGCGTGGGTGGGTGAGTGGGTTGGTGAGTGAGTGTGTGTGTGTGAGTGTGTGTGGGTGAGTGACTGGATGAGTGAGTGAGTGTGAGTGATGATGTGTGTGAGCGATTGAGTGAATGAGTGTGCGATTAGAGAAGAGAAGAGGGTGTGTTCTCTTGTTCCTGCGCGGGGTGTCTGGAGAAAACAAGATCCCCACTTTGGACGTGGGGAACAAAGCGATGGTGCTGTGATGCTAATGATGATGATGAGTGATGAGGGTAGTGTTGAGCGAAATGAGTGAAACTGATCGAGTGAGTGTGATGACGAGTGAGTGACGATTGACTGTGAGTGAGTGTGTGTATGCGCGCGTGGGACTTACGATGATGGTGTGAGTGATTGAATGAATGAGTCGGTGTGCGACGGGAGGAGAGAAGAGGGGGTGAGGTGTGAGGTTCCTGCGCGGGGGGTGCGCAGAGAAAACAAGAACCCCACTTTGGATGTGGGGAAAAAACTTCCCTCCAGAAGAATGAAACCTTTTTGCACTGCCCAACATTGAAAATTACTAGAATTCGAACGGTCCTGCTGCTAGTAGGCATATCAAACGGGAGACAAGCCTGCCAGCAGGTACCCCGCAGAAGTGTTCTATCCCTCGATGGCCATGGGGGCGCACAGATGGCCTGGAATACATCAGGGGGTTCACGCATCGGCGAAAAAAATGCCCTAGAGCTTTCTTGAAGCGAAATTTCTGACCGCATGCACGTGCCGTATCCTCTGCAGTGCGACTGGGCCACAATAATGCGCGGCAAGGATGCGAGGCACTTGGCAGCCGCATGGCCCATGGCTAAGTAAGGGCCAGGGCGGGCCAAGATGCGAGGATATGCAGGTGCACCACCGGAGAGTTACTCGCGGTCGCGATGCGGCCTGAGCGAGCCCCCACCCCCAACGCAGGCTAGCATGAGCGAGCAAGCCACCAAAGCGGGGCATCCTCTGGACCTATCTAAAACTAGGCGGGTGATGCGTGTGTGCTACGAGACAACAAAAAACGTCAGATATGGAGGAGGAGCAGGAATAATCTTTGTAGTCGGCGTCCTCGTGCGCGGGTGGTGCCGTGCAGTTGTGTGTGTGATCGTTCGAGAAATATGTTTTGTTTCAGCTGTTGGTGTAGTCGGGGGGGGCCCAAACGTCTGGTGACCATACCGCGCGGAGAGTAAATGGGGATTCAGGGTCACAGCCCGTTTTTGTGACTCGGGTCGTTCTCCGAGGACAGCTCGGGAGACTGGGGCCTCCAAAGTCCCAAAACCGTGCGGTGACGAACCGCGCGGTGAGGTCGATGGGTACTCCGAGGTCACCACGCGGTCCGTCACCACACGGTTTGGGGCCCCCGAGTGGCTGAACCGATCTTCCCCCCTAACGCTGCCCCGTGGTTTTCGGGTCATGGGTCATGACCCGGCTCTCTGGCGGCCGTTCGGGACGATCCAATCACCCCCGGAACGCGGTTGGCGAGGTGCAGCCGCTGGAAGGCATCCCGAGGCTGGAAAGCCGCCGAGGGCCGACGAGAAGGTCCGAAAACCGCGCACCTCGAAACCTTGTTCCCCCCTGAGCACATCCCCAACGTGACAGATGCCAGCGTCTGCTTCCTCAAAATAGAAAACAACAAGCGCTTGAGCCATCGTGTAGACGAGAAACCAGCAAATCCTCAAGTTGCATTTGGAGCACATCCCCCCCCAGACGTTCTCAAGCCTCGACCAAGCGGCCAAGGGGGGGAGGGGGGGCAGAGGCCAAGGCGGCGGACGCCGCCGCAGGGCGGCGCTCCTGTGGGCACTGCGGCCGGCAGCGCGGCGGGCGCCGCGGCAGGCACGGCGAGGGCCGCCAGGGCGGGCGGCAAGGCCGCGGGGGCGGCGGCTGCCACCGGCACCGTCCAGCTGCTCTCGCCTGCAGCAGCGGTGTTTTTCGGACCAGCTGCTCGCAGGCCTTCGCTCGGTCCTATTCTGCCGAAGGGCGGCGGAAGCGTACCAGCGTGGACGCCAAGTCCAGTCCCAGCTACGGCCGCCAATCAGCGTCCTCAGATTCAGAGTCTGGCTCTCGGTGCGGATCGCAACACCGACCCCTGACGTTTGGAGGATTTTCGGCTGGGCAAACACATGAACCCGGCGCGACCCCAAGCAGGAGAAAGCTTCCTGAATAACAAAGCAAGGAAGGCATTTCTAGGCATTGTTGTGCGTTGCCTTGCTGGGCGTTGCTTGCCATTGCCGTTGCTTGGCGTTGCTCGGCGTTGCTTGTCAAACGTGTTACTGTGGCCAACTCCTGCTTCTCGTCCATTCTGCCTCCTCCCTGCCATTCGCCTTTCCCTCCCTTGGAGTCTCCGTCTCCTTCTCCTCCACGACCCCTCCCGCCTTCCTGCTTTTCCTTCTCCTCCTTATCCTCCCCGTCCTCCTCCATTCCATTCGCCGAGCTTACCAAATCATCCTGGCGAAGGACCCAATCATATGCAGTTGTGAATACCGTCGTTGCGGGTACCTCCTTCGGGAGATATCCTCATGGAGCCATGAAGCATGCGAAGGGTGTGGGCGCCGTGTGGGCGCTGCCATGTGGGCGCCGCAATGGGGCGGAACGGCCGCGAGGGCGCTGCCACTGGGGCCTCAGGTGAGCTCCTCGTGGGGCCACGAAACGCCGCACGCAAGCCCTCGCGTTTCGGCCTCGGTGGAGTTCCCAATGGGGCCGCGAGCGTGCGAGGGGACGGTGACGATGATGACGATGACGAGGACAACGCTGATGATGATGCGAAAGGTCGAAGCAGGGGTGGGTGGAAGGAGGAGAAGGACGAAGGAGGAGGAGCACGAGGAGGAGGAGGAGGGCAAGAAGCTGCGAGCATCCCGATGCAGATGATATGAGAGAGGCGGCCAGTAGGGGACTGAGGCGTGGACACGGGTCAAAGCTGACATAGGCAAGCGAGGACTCCCTCCTCTCCCTGATTCCGTCGCGGGATGCGCCCCTGCCCGTCTGTTCCGCGGCGGCCCGAGTCCCCAGCGCAGTCCTTTTGCCACCGTTTTCTTCCTTCATCTGTCTCCCCACTTTGTCCACGCGCCCCGACGGCCACGGCTCCGGTCAGAGTGCCAAGAGGAGTCCCAAGACGGTCATCGTCCGTCTTCATGCACATTACCCTGAAGACGGGCGATGACAGTCTTCTTTGGCGCCATGAATCGCGAAAAAGGGGTGTGCCGAAATTGGCAAGGGAGGCGCATGCGGGCGACCCCACTGGGACCTTCGGTGGAGCTCCCTACGAACCGCTATACTGTGTGAGGAGACGCGCGTGCGGCCTGCGGCCACTGGGACTTTCGGTAAAGCTCCATATGGGGCCACGAAGCGCTGTACTAGTTGAGGGAAACGCATGCAAACACCGCCACTGGGGCTTTCGGTGGAGCTGCCAATGCGGCCGCGCAGCGCTGTACTGGGTTGGGGATCCGCATGCGAAAACCGCCACGTGGGCCGTCGGTGGAGCTCCCTGTGGGGCAGCGAACGGCTTTACTGGGTTGAAACGAATGCGAAAACCGCCACAGAGGCCTTCGATGAAGCTCCATATGGGGCCACGAAACGTTGTACTGAATGGAGGAAAAGCATGCGAACACCGCCACTGCGGCCTTCGGTGGAGTTTCCTATGGGACCACGAAACGCTGTATTGACTGGGGGCGACGCAATCGAACACCGCCACTGGGATCATCGAAGGAGCTCCCTATGGGGCCACGATGTCCTGGGTGTACGCAGGCGAACACTGCCACTAAGGCCTTCAGTGGGGCTTCCAAGCTCCCCATGAATGGCGCGACGCAATGACGACGATGACGAAGACGACGACGACGCCGACGCCGACGCTGACAACGATGTCGATGACGATGACGATGACGATGACAAGGGCCATGCTGATGATGGAGATGGTGATGACGGTGGTGATGAGTATGATGATGGTGATGATGATTGTGATGATGAGCACGGTGATGGTGGTGATGATGATGGTGCTCCAGATGATGATGCTGATGATGATGATGATGATGATGATGATGATGACGGCGGTGGTGGTGATGATGATGCTGACGGTGCTGATGATGATGACGAAGCTGATGGTGAGGAGGAGGAGGAGGAGGAGGAGAAGGTGGATGATGATGATGATGATGGTGGTGATGATGATGATGATGATGACGATGATGATGATGATGATGATGATGATGATGATGATGATGATGATGATGATGATGATGATGATGATGATGATGATCCACTTCAACTCCGAATGCCAGGGAGCGTGTGTTGCTGAGCGGGGCGAGGGTGACCGTTTCGCCTTGCTGGAACGCGAGCACACGAGCCAGGACCAGCACAGCAGCCGTACTCGAGAGAACTGCAACTACACAGGGCGACAGAGGGAGGGAGGGCGGGAGACTTGAGCCGCAGTGGTTGCGGCACACACCATTGCACTGATCAAAACACACAGAAGCAGTCATATGAGCCACTTCCATTCCGAGTGCCAGGGAGCGTATTTTGCTGAGCGGGGCAAGGGCTACCGTCTCGTCTTGCTGCGACGCGGGCGCACGAGCCAAGACCGGCACAGCAGCCATACTCGAGAGAACTGCACCCCGCATACCTGCACACCCTGGCCACAGGCCGAACACATGAATATCCACTCCTCAGCGACATTAATTAAACCCCGAGCAGTCTACACAGTCTGGAGTCACATAAGGTTCCGGCGCTGCTCGCCTACCAAGTGGCGGCACAAAACAACAAAAATCACTGGGAAATCCGTTCAACGAGCGACCCAGCGGTCTCCCAAAAACGTCGAGAGCCGAAATCTTAATATAAAAAAGCCGATGACCAGAACATGGGCCATTCTTGCCCGCGCACAGAGAACGCATGGCAAGTGTAGGATACCCCGCGCTCCAGGCCCACACCATCGTAGGTCTGGGAGTCATACCACCGCGCTGACAGAGGTTTAATTCAGCGGTTTGCGACGCGAGCGAACAAAAGCCTGAAAAAGTGAAGGCCAGGCAAAGGAGGCTGGCGAGGGCACTCTACGAAGCACGGGGACCCTGGAGCGATGGCACTTGAGGATCAAGGTGGCGAGCGAACCCCAGAGAGCCCGAGACAGAGAAGGGGGGGGCCCAAGGCCCGAGGCGGGCGAGGCCCAGACGCCCAAGACAACAGAGCCCCGAAGCCACCCCAGGATCCTCCAGCGCACCGAGGGTCGAAGCCAATCCAACCCAACACGTCGGTTAGGGTCGAGAAAGAAGGCGGTGTAACCAAGAGCGCGCAAGCGCTTCACGATAGGCCAAGAAGCGAAACCCAAACAAATGAACACAGCACGGGGTCTCACTCTGGCGCCTCTGAGCGCAGACGTCAGCCAGCGCGTCAGATACCTGCCCACTTGGCCGGCAGAGCGGGCCTCTGGCGCCCGCGAGACGACGCGGTCGCCATCGGCGGCACCGCCCACGGCCGAACCTGCTGAATGGTGGCGCCCCCGAACAGCGATGCCGGGAGGAGGTCTGCATTCTGCCCGAACGCCAGGTCCTTCTCCGACCTCGGCCACTGGAGCTCGGTTCTCTTGGCATATCGGCGGAGCGAGCCCTCTGCCCACCACCTGCCGCGGTCCTTCACCTCCGCCAGCGAGCGCCCCGGCGCCAGCAGGTAGTCGCCGGCGACACTGCGGTGCAGCACGTACCGTGACTGCTGCGCCTCTAGGCCAAGATGCTCGGCCGCCGCGTCGAAGGCGTCGCGGACGCCCGTCGCCTCGAAGCACCCCGTCGGCGCGCCCCCAGGGAGCGCCATCCGCGGCGAAGCCCGCGGGGGCCCCCGGGCAGGCAGGCGCGGCGCGTCGCTCTCGTCCACGAAGCTCGCCATGCCAAGCCGCCCGACCTCGCTCGGGCCCGCCCCCGAGCCACGCCCCCCGCGGCGAAGGCCCGCCAGAGTGTTGGGCGCCACGGGCGGCGCCCCCCGGAGGCGGCAAGCCCCCGACGGCCGCGGGAAGCCCGCGCCCAAGAGGATCACGGGCCACGCGAGGGGCAGCTGGCCGGGCGACAACATCACGCCGTCGATCACCATCACCATTGGCCGAGGCATGGGCCACCTCGAGCAAGGCGGCCTCGGCCTCTCCCAGCAGCCCAGCGCCTTGCAAGCCCTCGGAAGCGCCGCTCGCGCCGGCCCCGGAGCCAGCAGCAGGTGTCGAATCGCCGCCATCACGGCGCGGCCCGTCGCGGCGTCGACGCAGTCTAAGGCCAGGAGCGCCAGGAAGGCCGCCAAGGTCATGTCTCACTCCCGCGACGTGGCCCACGACAGGCTGCACCACTGCGCCAGGCTGGCGGCCTGGGCCGCTGCCCGAGCCCTCCCACGGCGGCCCCGCGAAGAAGCCCTTCCGCGACGGGGCGTCCGACGGGCTGAGCTCCGACGGACTCCACCTCGCGCAGGCACGGCAGGCCGTGGCTAACAGCAGCGAGGCGATGCGCCTCTCGGGCCTGGCGAGGTAGGCTGAACGACCGCGGCCCTTGCCAGCGCTGAGCGCGAAAGCCAAATTGTCGACGGGGAGGAGGAAGCGATGGCATTGCATGGGGCCCGGTCCCGAGCAAGCGCCTGAGCGCGAACCCCGAGGCATCCCCCTCAGACCCCAAGATGCCCCACCCCTGCACGTAGACCCTGCTGGAGCGAGCGATCTCCCAGGCGGAACTGTCGAGGATCTCTTGGGGCACCTCCGTAAATCTGGGGATCTCCATGCCGCCGCCCAGCGAGCTCCTCGAAGTTGGCGACGTCGGCTGAGCCCCCCACATCGCCATGACCATCAGGCCGCCAAGATCCCCACCCACAAAAAAAATGCTAGGAGAGGAGGAGGCCCTTCGGGCACCTGAATGGCGCCCCCCAGAACACGCCGATGGGCCGCGATAGCGCCATTGAACTTGCTCCTTGCCTTCTTTGCCAGACGACCGATGCCGGCGACAGCCTGAGTCGGGAGCTTTCGGCGACAGACCCCAATGCCATAGCCCGAAGAACCAGGCGCCGCAACGTCAGCAGCCCAAGGAAAGCGCCAAGAAGAGGCCCGCAGGGGTAGGGCGGCCTGTGCCCAGCGGAGTTCCCTAGGGCCCCCCCTCACAACCTCGTCGGCCCTGACGACCGCCCACGGGCGAAGGCGAACGTTGTGCCTGCTCAACATAGCCCACGCGACGTGGCCAACCAGCGTCGGAAGAGCCCCCGAGGAAAGATCTTGCCGCGGCGAAGCGCTGAGCGGATACCCAGGCGCCACCTGGCGAGACGAGAACACGGCACACGCATGTTTCCTTTTACCCCGTCGAACTCGGGACCGGAATCAAACAGTGGCACACGAGAGCCCTGCGCCTCGCCCACGGGCAAACGGCGGCAAGCGATGGCCACTGAAATGCGCTGCAGCACGCGGTCGACAACCCCCCTCGAGCCAGCGACCACGCAGAAGGAGTCGCCGACGCGGGCGGAGACCGCCCAGTCGGTCGATGTCTGCAGCGACAAGGACGCAGCCCCGTCCACGACGAAGCGATCTTCATCCATCCCGCGTCACACGACATGATGTTCGCGAGAGCATCCCGACAAAACGCAAAGCCCAGTTCCGACCCATCGGCGCCACCAAAATTGCAAGGACGACGTCGATGTCGAGCGCGAAGCCGTCTCGACACATAATCCGATTCGAGATGCAGGGCAGGGTGAACGCACAAGCCAGATCGCCAGGAAGTCTCACGCGGTAGAATGCACACCGGGTGCCGCCCGAGGCCATGAGACCGACGACGTCGGGGCTCACCTCCTTGGCCGCCCACGAAGCACTGGTCGGCAGCTCTGCGCCAGCTGGCCCCGCGAACCAAATATTCGCAATGCGGGCGTCAACACTCCTGAGGTCTTCGCAACTAAGAACACCCCAACCGTGGGCTGCTCGCGCCCCTGGCGAGAATGGAACCTCAGCACCCCTGCCGCGCCCAGTCGACGAAGTCGGCATAGCGGTCGGGGCAGCTCAGAAGGAAGGGGTCGCCGCGCGGCGTGCCGAGCCAAGACTCCACCCGCCTGGCGCCTGCCAAAGACTCGGAGACCTGCACGCTCGCCCTCCACGAGCCCGGCCCGCCAAGGGAGGCGCAGCCACACAGCCGGCCCAGAGGCGTCGGGGCCGCGCCTGCAGCGAGGCCTCCAGCGCAGGGCCGAACCGCGGCACCGTCATCACAGCACCCAGGCGCGCGGCGGAGCAGCTCTTCCAGGGCGGCATCTGCGGATGCGCTGCTGACGGGGGAGGTCGCCAGGCCACGAAAAAAAATTAAAAAGCCTCAACAATGCGGGCAAGGGCGAACTGCCGAGGCACGTTATCCGCACCATCGGGCACGACCACCTCACGAGGACCACAGCACTGGCCACGCAACTCGACGAGGCCGCCGACGCACTCGTTGGCACAGCGGCGCAAGGCAGCCCCTCGATCACATCGCTGACGGACACGCCGAAACACGCATAACTCACGACGACTGCCCACAGCAAGACGAGGAAGAAGAAAATGTTGCGCTGGCATTGGCGCAACGCCCGCTCCTCGCGGGCTTTCTCGCGCCCCTTGGTCACCGCGGCCTCCGCCTTCAACTCGCCCGCGATCCAAACATTCAGCAGCGGGCAAGCGCAGGCGCTCGTTCCCCCTGCCCCATGGGCCCCCAAGAACAGGTCGTTATCCACCCGCCCCCCCCCCGCACGCCAGCCTTGCCCTTGCCCCTCTTGTCATTGCTTTTTCGGGCGACAGGCGAGCTCGACCACTTTCTCCCCCAGCAGCTGGGTGCGCCTGAGGCTGGCCGCCATCCCGAAGTCGGCGAGCTCCCCCACGTTCACCTGGTCGCAGCAGTCGGCCAACCCCCGGACGCGGCAAAGGAGCGCGTGCCCCCCGATTAAGGGGTCGTCCCCCGCCATCCGCCACTCGGTCATCCACTTGGCGCGCCACGCCGAAGGGGGCCCCGCCTGACGCTGGATGCGGGCGCGCGCCCACGCCGCCGCGCGGGGCCCGCGGACTGGCCAGCCGCTCCAGTTCATCACCGAGTGGAGGCGCGCGCCGTCGCGGAACTCCCGCCAGCGGTCACCCTCCACGTCGGTCGCGATGGCGCCGGCCCCGAGGTCGGCGGCGGCCGCCGCGACAGCCCCCGCAGCCGCGGCCGCCTGGCCGGACGCCCCTACAGCCGCGGCTGCGACCGCTCCGTCACCCGCGGCGGGAGCAGGACCCAGAGCAGCTGCCAGCCGCGCCAGAAGCCCCCAGGGGCCGGCGCGTGCCCAGCCGCGGCGGCTCCGCCGCCAGCGGAGGCGCAGCTTCGGGGACAGCTCCGACCACGAGGGCCCCGACACCACGACCCAGGGCCCCACTGGCCCCGCCGGGGGCTGCCCCGGGAGCGCCAGCGGCCCCGACAAGGGTCGCCGCGGCGGCGACCCCGACAGGAGTCGCTTGCAAGCGCCGGCAGCCCCGCGACCCCCCGCGGACGGCGGGCCTTCAGCGACAGCGGGAACGCCCCCAGCAGCGGATGAACGGCGCCGGCAGGAGGAGCCAAAACCGCGCGCTGATAGCCAGCGGCCCGGGCAGAGGTCAGCCGGCCGACTGTCGGCAGCTGCCTGAACCTGTGGCACGCGGCGTTGGGGCCAACGCGCGGCGCGACTCCGCCCGGGCAGTCGAGCGCGATCCAGTCGAGAAGGCCAGCACCCAGTAGCAAGTCCTCCTCATACTCATCCATGTCAGGCGTCACGCCAGAGCCCCCTGCCGCCAACATTGCACCGCATCGCGACAAACTGCCCCCCCCCCTCCCCCGAAAGCCGAGGGGGCGAACGCCAGCTGCTGGGGCCGCCATCGCTAATGGGGAAGATCGGGAACCTGACGCTCGCGGATAACAGCCTGCTGGCGACGGGCGGGCTCGGCAATCTCTTTCGGAAACCGGATGAAAGACAGGGGCGCGTTCAGCTGTAGGCCAAGGCACTGGCTGGGCCTCTGGCGCGCTACGCGAGCACCAAGTAAGGAAGCCCCCTCGCGCGAGCTGAAAACCCAGCACCACGCCAGTCGCAAGGGTTGCGAGGACCAGGCTGGTCTGTTCCACGGGGTCCGCCCGCTCGTGGAAGACCCCCTCAGCTGGCTGGGCCCCGCTGGCGGGCACTCGCAATGCACCTCGGGCGCGCAGATCGGACAGGGCGGTGGAGTCTGCGCCCAGAGGGGGAGACTGTTGGGGACCCCCCTGGCAAGCTCAGGAATCGCAGCCCTGAGAAACTGCATAGGCGGGGCCCGCTTGGGCCTAGAGAGCTACGGGCCTCACATACCAGCGCGGCCAGCTGCGACGCCGCTAGGCTTAAAGTGGCAAGCGCAACCATCTATATATATATATATATATATATATATATATACAAGGGCCCGGCTCGGGGGGGGGCCGTCCAAGCTGGCGCCGAAGACGCCATTTGAACGCTCTATCTCGTGACGCCCCTGTTCGGCCTGAAGCCTCTTTTCCGCTGTCGCCCATGGAAGCTCGCGAAGCCTCTACGGCCTGAAGCCCCATATTCGGCCTGAAGCCTGCATTCGGCCCGTGACGCCTCTATTCGGCCTGCGACTTGCGACGCACTGGGGGGCGGCGACCTAGACGCCTCTATTCGGCCTGAAGCCTCTATTCCCCTGGCGCCCACTGAAGCTCGTGAAGCCTCTATTCGGCCGGAAGCCTCTATTTCCCTGACTCCCATTGAAGCTCGTGAAGCCTTTATATTCGGCCTGAAGCCTCTATTCCGCTGACGCCCATTAAAGCTCGCGAAGCCTCTATTCGGCGTAAAGCCTCTATTCCCTCGACGCCCATTGACGCTCGTGAAGCCTCTATTCGGCCTGAAACCTCTACTCCCCCGACGCCCATTGAAGCTCGCGAAATCTCTCGGCCTGAAGAATCTATTCCCCTGACGCCCACTGAAGCTCGTGAAGCCTCTATCCGGCCTGAAGCCTTTATTCTCCTGACGATCATTGAAGCTCGTGAAGCCTCCGTTTGGCCTGAAGCCTCTTTTCCCTTGACGCCCACTGACGCTCGTGAAGCCTCTATTCGGCCTGAAGCCTCGATTCCCCTGACGCCCTGTGAAGCTCGTGAAGCCTCCATTCGGCCAGAAGCTTCTATTCCCCTGACGCCCATTGAAGCTCGCGAAGCCTCCATGCGACCTGAAGCCTCTATTCCTCTGACGCCCAGTGAAGCTCGTGAAATCTCTATTCGGCCTGAAGCCTCTATTCCCCTGACGCCCGGTCAAGCTCGTGAAGCCTCTATTCGGCCAGAAGCTTCTATTCCCCTGACGCCCATTGAAGCTCGTGAAGCCTCTATTCGGCCTGAAGCCTCTATTCCCCTGACGCCTGGTAAAGCTCGTGAAACCTCTATTCGGCCTGAAGCCTCTATTCCCCTGACGCCCATTGAAGCTCGTGAAGCCTCTATTCGGCCTGAAACCTCCATTCCCCTGACGCCCATTGACGCTCGTGAAGCCTCTACTCGGCCTCAAGCCTCTATTCCCCTGACTGGTGAA